CTGACAAATTGAACTTTATCAAAATTAAAGATTTTTCCTCTTCCTAAAAACAAACTGAGAAAAAAATTAAATTTACATAAATGATAAAGGAATTGAACCTAAATAAAGAATACCCAAAACTTAATATATTATTACAAAGAATTATAAAATGAGGAAAAATTACTCAGACATCTCATCAGAGAAGATACATGGATAGAAAATAAGCACACAAAAAGATGTTTAACATGATTAGTTATTAGGGAAATGCAAATTAAAACCACAATGAGACACCACCATACACCAAATTAGAACAAACGACCATACTAAGCACTGGTGAGAATATAAGACAATCTTATACACTGGTAGTAGGAATGTAAAGTTGTACAGCAACCTTGGAAAACACTTTGACAGTTTATTAATATTTTAAATATGGCCCATATCATGTCATCCAGCTATTTCACTCCTAAGTATTTACCCAAAAGAAACAAAGCACATATCCATACAAAAATATGTGCATGAATATCTATAGTAGCTTTGTTTATAACCATCCCAAACTGGAAAGAATCAAAATGCCCATTAACAGGTAAATGGAGAAACAAATGATAATATATCTAGTGATATGAATGGCATTCCCCAACCCAAACAGTAAGTCCATTCAGAACCTGTAAATGTGACTTTATTAGGATCTCAGGTCTTTGTGGGTGTAATTAAATTAAGGATATCAAAATGAGATCATCCTAGATTAGGGTGGACCCTAAATCCAATGACAAGTGTCTTTATAAGAGAAGAGAAAGACAGAGGAAAAGGTGATATGAAGACCGAGGCAGAGACGAGTGATGCATCTGCAAGCCAAGGAACTACAAAGATTGTTTGCAGTCACTAAAAGCTAAGAAAGAGGCATGGAACTGATTCTCCCTCAGAGCCTCTAGAAAGGAACCAATCCTGCTGACATCTTGATTTCAGACTTCTGGCCTCCAGAACTATGAGAGAAAACATTTCTGTTACTTTAAGCAAATTTGTGATAATTTGTCACAGCAGCCCTAGGAAAATAATACCCCACATGATGGGTCACTAGTCAGCAATAAAAGGAATAAACTATTGAGATACATAATAACATGAAAAAAATTTCAAGATAATCATTCTGAATGAAAGAATCCATTAAAAAATACACATGGTGGGCCAGTCACGGTGGCTTAAACCTGCAATCCCAGTACTTTGGGAGGCCTAGGTGAGAGGATTGCCTTAGTCCAGGGGTTCAAGACCAACCTGGGCAACTTGGTGAGACCTTGTCTCTATAATAAATAAGTAAATAGATAAATAATAAATAAATAAATAAATAACAAAATTAGCCAGGTGTGGTGGTGCATGCCTGTAGTTCTGGCTACTTGGAAGGCTGAGGCGGAAGAATTGCCTGAGCCCAGCAGGTCAGGGCTGCAGTGGCCAAAGTCAAGGCTTGACTCTGACCAAAAAAATAAGAGTACACATTGTGTAATTGTATATAGAATTCTAGAAAATGCATATTATTCTATAGTGAGAGAAAATGCATATTATTCTATAGTGAGAGAAAGAATATCAAGCAAGTTGTTGCTTGAGGATGAGGGAAGGTCAAAATGGTAGAAAGGGATAAGATTAAGGGTTACTTATGAAGTCATGGAAATGTTTATTACCTTGTTTTTGTTTATTTTATGGGTGTATACATATGCCCAAATTTATCATTTATTGTATGTCTATTAAACCTCAATAAAGTTCTCAAAAATGTAGTCTAAATTTAGTGTGTATGTGCTTGTATGTAAAACTCCGACAACTTAGATATTTTAGATATCATGGCAGCAGGGGGTGCCTGTTCTCTGTAAGGTGCCCTTATATCCTCATCACTGGCCTATGGTAACAATCCAATAGCTTTCCTCCCATGGAAAATGTCAGTATGTTCTGTTGATTGGCTGATTTATTCTGCATATGTTTTAGTTCCTTCTATTTTCAAGGTAGAATTCTTGGCACTGGAAATACAACCAATAATGATTAAGACAAATGCCCTCATGAAGCTTACATTCTGTGAGATGACACACTCAAGCAAACAAAACTACGGTATTTCTATTATAATGTCCAATGGTGACTAAAAGAACCATAAATCAGAATAAGGGGCTAGTAAGTGGTGACAGCAGCTGCTTGAGACAGGGAATCTAAGAAGATCTCTCTGAGGTTATGCCATCTGAGTGAGGGAGCCAAACAAATGTTTGGGAGAAGAATGTTCTGGGACAGCAGATATGGAAACCCTGAGACAGAAGCATACATGTGGCACACTCAAGGGAAAAGAGGCCAGCGGGACAGGAGCAGAATGGTCAGGACATAAGCCTGTCCATTCCACTTTGAGGAACAAGCCTGGGCATAGGGGGACAGTGTACTTTGTCCTAAGCATGATGCAAAGGGAACACAGGATTTTGAGGAAAGACGTGATGTGATCTGTATGCATTTTTAAAGATCATTCTGATTGTTATAGGAAGATAAGAATGAGCCAGTTAGAAGGCTTTGGCAGTAATCCAGGAGACAAATCATATGGCTTAACCTGTGATCTGATCACATCTGAAAAGTGATCAGATTTGGGATACATTGTACAGGTCCAGCCAATACCTCTAGCTGATGCAAGATAGAAAAAATGAAGACTTGATGATTCCAAGGTTTTGACCTGAGCAGCGGGGCAAATGGCAGCACCTTTTAATGTGATGGGAGGCAGCAAGTTTTTGGAGTAAGTAGAATTAAGAATTTAGTCTTGAGCCGGGCTTGGTGGCTCAGCCTGTAATCTCGCGCCTTTGGGAAGCTGAGGTGAGTGGATTGCCTGAGCCCATGGGTTCGAGACCCGTCTGGGCAGGTGAGACCTCATCTCTACAATAAATCAAAAAAAAATTAGCTGGGCGTGGTAGCGTGCACCTGTAATTCCAGCTACTTGGAAGGCTGAGGTGGAAGGATCGCCGGAGCCCAGCAGGTCGAGGCTGCAGTGACCAGGAGCGGCCACTGCACTCCAGTCTGGGCAACAGAGTGAGACTCCAACTCAAAAAAAAAAAAAGAATTCAGTCTTGGATAGTGAAAGATGTGGGGTGGTTAGAAAAAGGTAGAATTTGAGTTGGAATTTTAGATGTATCTGGCTATAAAAGGATAAAAGTCCTTGTGATAAGGGCTGATAAAGGGAGGAGCTTAGAGTCCTTATGGAAACTGAGGTAAATAAGGATGCAGATCATGATGGATATGGCCCTGGTGATCTTTTAGAGGGAAGGGGAGGAGAATAACCTCTAATTGGAGCCTCTCCTTCTGACTGATCTTTGAAGCCGTTGATAATAGTAAGAAGGTGGTGTGTGCAGGGAAGGACCATGGTGGTCTCACTAATAGCCCCTGGAACCCTAAAATCAAAACCAGGGATAGAATAGTGTTTCTTTCCCTTAAATTCTGCACAGGCAGAAGGTGGGGGACAAGCAAAGGTTAGCACCTCTATCCGTGATATCTAACCTGGCATTTTGCCACAGGTCACATACACTGTGGGTCCACTTCAGATTTCAGCCCTGTCCTCCACTCTGTATTTCTGCATGAGGGATCATTTGGATCTTTCCACCATCATCTGGGAGGGCTATGGGCCCTGGAAGGTACTATCTCAGACCCTGTATACTTAAACATACCACATCACAATTCCCACTTTGCCACGACTTCCCCAGGTTGGCACAGTGTCCCCTCTGAAGCCTCTTCTACTAAGGGTCTAGTTTCAGAGGGAAAGCATGGCTTTAGATATTTCTATTGTTAGATTTCTGCACATATCAGGGGATTTTATATACACGATCACCAAAAGGAAGCAGATCCCAGAGTTGCACACTTACACCTAATGTCTCTTCTCTAATAAATAATTCCTGCCTACTTATGGTCCTTTTGCTTCAGGAAAACTGTTTTCATCCCCTTTAAGGTTTGAAATCCACGGTCATTCAACCATCTTTGCTAATCTTCCAAGTCAAAGACTTCTGAACTTCACAACAAAATCATTTCTCAGACCTGATTTGTCAGACCTGATTTTGAAATTCAAAGTAAAAAATTGAATTATTCTTCTGGGCTCACTCTTGCCAGCTCTCAGAATCAGTGGATGTCTAATGAAGAAGGAAAATTTTCCAGAAATTAAAATTAAAATTTCACAATGTTATCCCTTCATTCTATCATTATCATTTGGATTGAATGTGCCCAGGATGAGGCTGGGAGGGAGAGCAAATTGTCTCAGTTCTGTGAGATCACAGATGAGGTCACAGAATGTTGAAAAGTGCAAGGTTGACATAGAAACAGGGGATTGTGAGATGGGAGATAGTCTAGGGAGGAAGGGGTGGGGCAAGGTGTAATTTGGGGAGCCCAACCAGGTAAGTTTCTGGGCACAACTGATCTCGTTCCTGACTGGGGTTTGGAGGACGAGAAGGGTGGGAATGGGGAAAGTGAGAGAGAAAAATCTCAAAGGGTGATTTGACTCTTGTCTGGATCACTGCCTCCTAGCCCTCTTCCTATCCAAAGCACTTGAAGACTAGAGTTGACTGACCCCCAGCCTGTAGTACTACCCTTAGTTGACCATGAAAATTCTGACTATGAGGTGTGATGGGGTGGGAGTATTTGCCCATCTTGAATTCACTATACACTATTTCCCATTCTTACCTTCAAGTTCACTCTCAACTCTAGGAGCCCCTGGCCAACTCCCTGCCATCAATCTCAACCAGCTGTTAGTGTTTACATAACTTCTGTCTCTCTATTTAATCACCTACACTCTCACTGGAATTTCTGTTGATACTGACAAAGACTATAGGAAGATTTCACCTGGGGCAAATACTCCCTTCCTCTTACCCTCATTACACATATATACACACATACTCTCGCACTGCCCCATTCAAAACACAGACAGTTCCTGAACTACTGAGACATCTGTCCTGGTGGTTCTCCGTGGACAAGTGCTTTTCATTTCATCATATACCTGGCTTTTCCCCCTATTCAGTATGCCTCCCCAGGGCCTGGAGCTATCTCCATCTTAGCTCCAGAGTCCTTGGTTTCTGTCCAAGAACAAATGGCCCAGCATGCCTGCCAGGATCAAGAACAAAAGGTAAAAATGGCCTCCAATCAGCAGGAAAGGTAAGTGAGACTATTGATGATCCTCAAGTGTCCTTAGATTGGATATACCTCAAGAAAGAACTAGGGTCTCCTGTCTCCCATCTCTCTTCATTTGGCTGCACTTGCTCCTGGTTGGGGAAGATAGGAACTTTCATGTGTCCTCCTCCTCCTCCATCCCTTCCATGAAAGAGACAATAGCAAATATTAGTCATTCTAATTTAGAAAGTGGGCATCAATTACAATTCCTCTAGGAGCTGGTTGGGTATACAAGCTAGGGACATTTATTAATTTCTGGGTCTACTTTCCCTAAATCCTTCATGTTTGCTATAGTGTGAATCAAGGCCAGTCATCCCAAACCACATTTTCTTTGACCTAGAGGGGAAGGAGGACCAGAATCTGCTTCTTGGGTCTGAATATGAGACCAGGCAATAGTAGCCATAAAGTCAGAAAAAAAGGAGGGTTTGCTGTGAGCTTACAAGTCAGAAAACTTCATAAAAGAACTAGAACTTGTTTTGAGCCTTGAAATACGCAACAGGTGTTTTAAGAGTTTGTAGGAATTTAGGAAGAGAGTTAAAAGTGTCTTCTAGGAGTCTAGACTGACTATCTTATTGAAGTGCTCAGATTGGTTAACTGGATCTCAGAATGGTTAACTGAGCCAGTGAGGGATTGAGAATCCTGAAACTGGAGGAAGATGGGAACCTGCTCTATCTAAGAGTATAAATTCCATAAATTTTCTTCCAGACATCCACAAGACCCTGAGGAAAAAATGAGTAGATACTTGATCCTCATAGACATATATGAGAAAATACATAAACCACACCAAAGCCCTGGCTTCTCTGCTGTTGAACAGATGCTTTTAGATAGTGAAAGTAGACAAGACACTGTTAAAAAAAACACTAATAAAAATAATATTTACAATAAACTTAACAGTTACAAAGGCTTTCATGTAATCCTTCTCCAAACTCCTGAGATAAATATTATTCCTATAACCTCTTGTTTTATAGATAATGAAACAAATTCATACAGGCAAAAAAACTTGCCAAAAGTCCTAGAATTGAAACTTAGTGAAACTAAAATTCAAGCAAACTCCTCTGTCCTTAAGTTCCAAACTCTTCTTACTGCAATATAATTAGACTTCTGATAGCTCAGTTATAAAGCAAATGGCACACAATAACTTAAGGCTGATTTAGAAAAGTCAAAAGAAAAAAAAAAGAAAAGCCAAAATATAGGGTGAAATGAAACAGATCTGAGTTGAAATCCAAACTTTTCCAATACTATTAACTAAGCATAACAGAACCTCAGTTTGTTGCACATTAAAGTAAGCCACCCACACCTCCCTCATAGGACTATCTGGGATTATATATGTGGGTCAAAGTACTTTCTTCAGTGCCTACTTTATGGAGGTTAAAATTTCTAGCAAATTAGTAGAATTTGCTAGAATTCTATAATGAATCTCTCTCTCAATCTCTCTCTCCTCCCTCCTTCCCTCCCTCTCTCTCTGCCCTCTCTCTCTGACCCTGGCTCTCCCTCCCCTACCTTTCTGCCTCTTTTTGCCTCTGTTTCTCTGTCCACTTTCTCTCTCTGTTCTCTGTTCATACCATGGCACACACGTGCATACCCATCCAGCCCACACATACACACATAAACACATACACATACATACACACTTCCTAACCTTTTTTCCCAATGTCCTTTACCCAGTGTGTCATTATTACTCATCTCTGTTTACTAGGGTGTGTATTAAACTTAGCCAAGAGGAGAAAACTCTAGGTGAACTCTAGTTCTGTTTTATTATCTTCCCTCCACCTCCACTCCCTAGAACAGGTAAGTGGATCCCACTACCTAGAGGCATCATACTACCTGACTTTATACTGCAAAGCTATAGTAACCAAAATAGCATGGCATTGGTACAAAAACAGACATATAGAACAATGAAACAAATTAGAGAATCCCAAAATAAATTCACGTATTTAGAAATGACTAATTTTTGACATAGGCATCAAGAACATTCAGTGAGAAAGGGACAGTCTCTTAAATAAATGGTGCTAGGAAAACTAGATACTCATATGCAGAAAAATGAAAGTAGATCTTTACCTCTCACCATACACAAAACTCAACTCAAAATGGATTAAAACATACAACTAGAAGAAAGCATGGGAAAACACTTCAGGATTTTGATCTAGGCAAAGACTTTATAGCTAAGACCTGAAAATCATAGGCAACAAAAACAAAAATATGCAAATGGAACTATAATAAACTAAAAAGCTTATTCACAGAAAAGAAAACAATCAAGAAAGCAAAGAAGCAACCAATTGAATGGGAGAAAACATTTGCAAACTATTAATCTGACAAGGGACTAATATCCAGAATATACAAGAAAATCAAACAACTCAACAAATACCAAATAATCCCATTAAAAAGTGGGCAAAGAAGCAGACCTTGAACAATTATCATAATACAATAAGAAAGGAATTGGCAGTAGTGGGAAACTACCAGGGGAAGGGGGCACACCTCATCAACAAGGGAACCTGCAAAATGAACATTTGAATACCCTGAATTGTACCCCACATCTTAAAAAAATGTTTAAAAAGAAATAAGGAAGTACGCAGTTTTATCATATACCTTCATAGTGTCCCCTGGAGACCATGTTTTTTCTCCTTATTCTATTGATTTACATGATGTATTACAGTAGCCCACCTCCAGCTTTGCATTTCTGAAATAAAAACTTTTTTGTCATTTGTAATGTGCTAAAAAAAAAAAAAGTGGGCAAAGGATCTAAATAGACATTTCTCAAAAGAAGACATACAAATGGCAACAAGTATATGAAGAAATGCCCAGCATCACTGATTATCAGGAAAATTCAGATCAAAGTGACGAGATATCATCTCACCCAATTAGAATGGCTATTATCAAGGAGTCAAAAAATAACAAACGCTGGCAAGGATGAGGAGAAAAGAGAATCCTTATACACAGTTGGTGTACTGCCCATTAGTACAACCAATATGAAAAGCAATATGGAAGTTTCTTTAAAAAACTAAAAATAGAACTACCATATAATCCAGCAATCTCACTACTGGATATTTATCCAAAAAAATGAAATCAATATATCAAAGAGATACCTGCACCCCCATATTTATTGCAGCACTATTCACAATAGCCAAGATATGGAATCAAAGTATCCATCAACAGATGAATGAATAAAGAAAATGTGGTGTGTATAAACAATGGAATACAATTTAGCCATTAAAAAAATGAAATCCTGACATTTGCAGTAACATCAATAGAACTGGAAGTCATTGCATTAAGCGAAATAAGCCAGGCACAGGAAGAAAAATGTCAAATGTTCTCACCTGTGGAAGCTAAAGATGTTTGTCTCATGGAAGTAAAGAGTAGAATGATAGATACCAGATGCTGGGAAGGATGAGGGATGGGGGGATAAGATAGGTTGGTTATGGGTGCAAACATACAGTCAGATAGAAGAAATAGTGTTCAATAACACAGTAGGTTGACTAGGGTTAATAATTTATTATGTATTTTTAAGTAGCCAGAAGAGATTTGAAATGCTCCCAACAAACACACAAAAAAATAAATGTTTGATATGATAGATATCCTAGATACCCCAATTTGATCATTACACAGATGCATGTATCAAAATATCACATCTTCTTAAATATGTATAATGATTACATATCAATTAATAAAAAAGCAAGGAGTTTCAGGATAACGGATGTGACCTGTATTTGCAGTAAGGTAGCTGTCCCCAGCTTCCATGGAGAAATTTCAATCCAGCTGGCAGAGGTGTGTGCACAAACCCTCTGATATGATGGTTCCCAAGGAGATTTTCATCCTGCCATCTAAATTAATGTTCATAAAAAGTCACTTCTTAACTGGATTTCTTTAGATCATTGTCAGCTTGGGCTGAGTTTTTGCTCTCTTCTGAGTTCCCAGACTCCCAATGTGTTTACTGGCCTTTTTTAGAAAGACTTGCTGCTTCATTTTATGGCAGAAAGTATAGAAGCAGAACTCCAAGCCAGAGATGTAAGGATCTTTGGGGTCTGAAATATGATTTTCCCTCCATCACCTTATCCCCACCTTTTTTAAAAATCTCGTCTCAGTCCCTAACCCCGGGCCTCTGAAACATTTCTAGGAGGTAATGACCTACCCTTTCCACCTCCAAGTCATTACCAGTGCCCTGGCTTGCTTTGACCTGTCACTCCTAGGCAAGTTTACACATAACCAGGAGATCCAGGCTTAGTTTGCTCAGGATCCACTAGTGTGATCTCCTTTCTGCCAGTCACCTGTCTAACCCTGTATACAGCTACTCCCTCTTTCAAGTGACTCTGGCACTGATTATAGAATAAGAGTGGTATTTAGGAATAAGGGCTTCAGTTATGCTGCCAAGAATAAGCAAAATCTTTCAACTTCTTCCTCAGCCTTCCATTCCAATGCATATTCACCCCACCAGAAGTCATGAAAGAAAAGCAAAACACAATTCAGGGGAACCAAAAAAAGAAAGCAATTTCTAATTGAATGTACTTTCTTAAGAGAGGCCTGGGAAGTGCAAAAGTTAAGGGGGGTGAAGGGTAGGGACTGGACACAAATTAGTCAGGCAGGAGAATGGCAAAGTTTAAAGTTAGTGCCCAACACCTTCACTTCTATTGTTCTATGCTTTAGCATTCTCAGAGTGCTATCACAACAGCCAAGATACTAGGAAGATGAGGCAAAGTCCCTGTTTCTCACAAATCCCAGAAGGGAGATGAGAGGCAGAATCCTAGCTATCCTTCCTGAATTTTGCTATAGAAACTTCAAGAAGTCTTGTTAGGTGTGGTAGAAGAGAGTTAGGAGAAGTCATTTGCTTATGTTCTCTGCTTCTCATCAGGTTTATATCATTGTTTTTTCAGCACATCCATAGAAGAGACAATGAGACCACAGGTGGGTAAGACATCTAAATGCTCTGGTTCCTTCAGGCTCCTGGTTCCTGAGAAGAGGGGAGTAAGGCTGTGCTCAAAGAAGAGGCAGAAAACCTGCCTGGCAAAGAGCATATCTTAATGGACTAAGGCTTTTTAGTTTAGGATGCTCTTGACTGGCTGATGGGTCATTATCTACCACAACCAGGTAACACCTCCAATACCACCACCACCACCACTACACCAGATGTCTCCAGGGACAGCCAGGCTATACAGGCATTGATCAGGTGGATAAACACATGGGTCTGTTTGTTCCTGACACTCATCAGCTAGATCAAGAGATAAGCAGGAGATATGGGATGAAAATGATTCAGCAAGCGGGGTGAAAGGAGACTTTCAGCTGCCTGATTTCAGGTGTCCATCTCAATTCCAAGAAACATCTTTTATTCCAAAAGTTTCATAATGTGTCAATTCTGGAAAAATTGGAATAATGCTTCCAAGATTTGTTGCTTGTTTCTACAGGAAAGACAAGTAACCATCACCGAAACCCTGTGGGACCAGGTGAGTACAGAAGGGTCATTTTTGACTGTATAATGAGAGGTGGGAGAACCGGAGGGCTTAAGAGGAGCAGATTTCTTTTTCCTTGAGCTGTTTGTTGATTGTCGCCACGCCTCCTCTCATCTTGATCTGTTACTCATTCAGTTCAAAATCCTCAGAACTCCTCGTGTCTGTGCATCTCAGCACCTTTACCTGACACACACTTTTTTGTTTTGTTTTTTAGATTTAAGGGGTACGTGTGCAGGTTTGTTACATGGGTCTATTGTGTGATGGTGAGGTTTAAGCTCTATTAAGCCCGTCGGCCAAATGGTGAGAACGGTACCCAATGGGTAGTTTTCAACCCTTGCCCTTCTTTCTCTTTAGGAGTCCCCAGTGTCTGTTGTTCACTTCCTTACATCCTTGTGTACCCGGTGTTTAGCTCCCTCTTATACGTGAGAACATGTAGTATTCAGTGAAAACATATAGTATTCGGTTTTCTGTTTCTGTGTTAATTCACTTGGAAAAAGGGCCTCTAGTTACATCCACACTGCTGAAAAGGGCATGATTTTGTTCTTCTTTATGGCTGTGTATATGTTTCACTTTTTTTTTCTTTTCTTTTCTTTTTTTTTTTTTTTTTTTTTTGATTCAATCCACCATTGACAAGCACCTAGGCTGGTCCCATGATTTTACTCTTCTGACACCCACTTGTTGGAATCTGTCATGGGTCCTGATTGTTGAGGTCTGATTTTAAGGGTTTTCAGTGACTCCCACAAACTTGAAACACAGATTTGGTCTTTCTTACAGGTTCAGTGTGATGAAGTTGTGTTCCAGTCCCCACGGTAAAGGCTGATATGTCTGTCATTTTAGGTCAAGTCATTTTAGGTCAAGATAAACACCTTAATTGAGCAATAAAAAAATAAACAAAATTACATTAAATCCAGCCATTATTGGACATCAGCCACCATAAGCCGTCCTCCCAAAAGGATATCATTCCTTCTTTTGAGACTCTCAGCTGAGCAGGGAAGAAAGACTTATAAACAAAGAATTCCAGTGCAGTTTGGAAAGTATTTTACCAAGAATATGAACAAAGAGCCTGGAGCGCAAGGAAGGAACTATTCCTGTTTCCCATAGCAATGCAAAAATGCATTGAATACTTAGTGGTTTGCCTCTATTTTAAGTGCTTTAAACTTATTAATTCTTAATTCTCACAAAAGTCTTTGCAGATAGATACTCTTAGTATCATTGGTCTCATTTTACAGAGGAGGCATGGAGAGATTAATCTCTCATATAACCACTGAATCTTTGTACTGACATTTGAAGGCAGTTTAGCTCAAGAGCTGAGATTCTTACCCATTATGCCATACTGCCTCTCAACTCAGATTTTTCTTCTATTTGTTTTTTATTAGCAGTAGTAGCAGTAACTTAAAGATATACAGAACTGTCCAGGAAATAATACAACAAGCACAGATGTTTCTTGCATTCAGAATTAACTGTTACCATTGTTACATTTGCTCTAAAGTTCTTTTAGAAAATGTAAAGAATTGTATTTTCTAACTTCTGTGATGCTATGTATGACAGACAAAAATGTGGTCCCCTAAATCACCACCTTCCTCCCTCAAGGCAAACAATAAATTGAGTTTGGTGGTCATTCTTCCACCAGTTCATTTTAAAATTCACTTACTATGCATATATGAATAACATATTGAGTGAACAATATAAGCATAAAAATATATAATGTTATGTATGTGTTTCTTAAGTTACATTAAAAAAACTCATGCACTGTTCTACAACCAGCTTTTATTCACAGTATGTTTTAAAGATCTAGTATGTGGACTATGATAAATCATTTATATGCAGCATAAATATTTAATTCTATCTTTTTTATTCACATTTTTTTGTATTAGTTGCTCTGCCATGTTGGGCAACAGGATTACTTTTAATATTTTACCAGCCAGGCTCGGTGGCTTAGCCTGTAATCCCGCGCCTTTGGGAAGCTGAGGTGCGTGGATTGCCTGAGCCCATGGGTTCAAGACCTGCCTGGAAACTTGGCGAGACCTCATCTCTACAATAAATCAAAATGAGCCGGGTGTGGTAGCGCGTGCCTGTAGTTCCAGCTACTTGGAAGGCTGAGGCAGAAGGATTGCCAGAGCCCAGCAAGTCGAGGCTGTGGTGGCCGGGAGCGGCCACTGCACTCCAGTCTCCGACTCAAAAAAAAAAAAAAAAATTTACCAATACAAGCAATCCTAAGATGCATATCCTTGGGCTAATTTGCAATTGTACAAGAGTTCTCCACCAGTTGACCTTACTTGGTTTTTAAATGTTTATTACTTTAATGAGTTAAACTTTGTATCCAATTATTGCTTGTACTGGATTGCCTATAAGATAAGCCCTGCATTCTTATGCTTATTGGACAATTGTATTTCCTCTTCTGTGAACTGTTTCTTATTCCATACCCTTTAGACATATTTATACTTGTTAAGTATTTTTCATATACATGTAATTTTTGTGTATATAATAAAGATAATTTGGTTATATATAAATGCATATTTATATATAATTTGTACTAGTCCTTTGTTATTTACACTGTAAATATCTTTTTCCCAGTTTTTTCCCCAACTAACTTTTGCCACAGGGAATATTTAAATAGTAAAGTTTATCATACTTTTTCTTTGCTTGACATACTGGTAAAAAGATTATTTTCTGTTCTAATTATTTATATTTTCTTTTAATGATTTTATACTTGCAAATAATTTTTATCTGTCATTTGCTTATGAATATGATTTGAATTTTAAAATAATTATTTTCTGTGTACAGAGACAATTTTCTCAACTTTGTTTTTTGAATAGTTTTTCCCACTGATGCTACCTCTTTCATATATCAATTTCCCATATGTGCATAAGTCTGTTTCTGAACATTCTATACCAGAGTTTTTCAATTGCAGCAATATTGACATTTTGGGCCAGACAACTCTTTGTTGTGAGTGACCATTCTATACATTGTAGGATGCTCAGAAGCAGCCCAAGCCTCTACTCACTAGATAATAGTAGTAATTCTGCTTCTTGGTTGTGACACCCAAAAATGTTTCCAGACATTACCTAATATCCTCGTGGGGAAGGTAAAATCACTTCTGGCTGAGAACTCCACTGATAAAGTAATTTATTTCTATGTCAATTCTATACTATCTTACCTACTGAAATTTATTAAATGCTTTGATATTTATTAGAACAAGACCTTCTCTTATTGCTCTCAAAATTGTCTTAGCTATCCTTGGTTGTATAAATCTTAGAATCAATTTATCAAATGTCAGGAAAAATATTTTTATTTTTGTTAGAATTGCCTTCAATATATAGATTAACTTGGAAAATATGGTGCTTTTATTTCATTGAGATTATCCATTCATAGAAACTCATCTGACTTGGGGATTATATCTCATGTGTTATCATCTCTATCACACAATTTCCGGTTACCTGTATCTGGCATCCTAGAATTCACGATCCCAAAGAAGTTTTCTGTTAAAAACTTAGGCTTTTGTCACTAGAGGGGATCACAGTCAGAGAACCCATAGCAACTCCATTTCATGAACAGAAAGAAAGTGATTCTGCCTCTGGAACCGCTAAATTTACTAACAGTTGATGGCTGTTCTTAGTTCCTCCATCATAAAACAATTTTCTGAAAGATTTGGTCCCTCCAGAATAAGTAAGTCTCAAAATAAACATCCTAAAAAATAAATAACTCACAATGGAAAGTAGAGGTGTTAAGTTTCTTTCATCTGAATGCCAAATTGAGTCCACAAAAGGGTTGTTTGTTTGTTTGTTTGTTTGTTTTTGAGAAGGCAAGAGTTTATTAAGAAGACAGAAAAGCTCCTGCAGCGGGAGGGGACCCAAAAGAGGCTTGCCCCACAAAAGGTGTTTTGTGGGTTTTTTGTATAATTGCTAGTGAGTTGCTATTTCTGATAGTCACATACCAACTCACCACATTCCTTCCAGAACACTTACTTAGAACATGATTGGAATCTTATTATTAGTACAGAAAATAATTATGTTCTTCCCATTGACTATGACTGGAGGGTCCATATCAAGATGTTAGAAACCATAAAAATTGGATTTGGTTATGCATATATCATTTCAATAGCTGGAATACCATTCTGCTTCACATTATTTATAGTGGAAGATTACTTTGTCACTAGAGTATGTCTACCTGTTTTGATTTTCTTTAGGGTATTTCAATAGAGATTCCAATGAAACACAAATGCCAGATTCTCTCTGGGACCTTAGAGGTTGCCAACAAAATTTTTTAAATGCTTCAAAATGTCCTACATATTTCCAAATCTACTGACAATTATTTGAATGAGAATAATGGCTAACAGTGTTTTTTTTTTTAAGTATGCCTGAAGCTGTCCTATTCTTTCATTTAATATATTTGAAAGACTCAGACCTGCCATTTGTTGGAGAGTTCTAAAGTGTAAGAAGAAAGCAAAAGAATATGAGTCTGTATTTTGGAAGTGAGGAATTATCTTTTCTGTGGTTAAGAAAAAGACTATTTTTTTTTTCACTTCAAGGGAGCTATGCCTCAGGAATTAGATTAAATCATTTATTCTAAATTTGTTTTAAAATATCCAGTAAAAAGTGTATTCCTTGTGGAAGATAGTTTATTTATATATTCTATAATGAATGAGATTGTTAAATTCTATCAAGAAAGTGTTTTGGAATCTGAAAACTATGAGTTAAAAATGAGAAATAGGCTTATTAGATCATCATTGGAAATCTGTTGCCTTCTGTATTTTAATTAAAACAATACATGAAATGTCTTAGAATTATTAAGCCCTTTTTTTATTTTAAAGATGTGGGGTACAATTCAGGGTTAGGTATACAAATGACCATTATACTAGTACCCTTGTTGATGAGGTGTGCCCCTGTCTCCCCTGGCAGTTTCCCTCAACTGCCAACCCCACCCCCCCTCCCCTGGCAGTTTCCCACTACTGCCAATCCCTTTCTTATAGTATTATGATAATTGTTCAAGGTTTACTCATGAATGAGAACATATGGTATTCTGTTCTTTGTTTCTGTGATAGATCACTGGATAAACTAAATCCATCCAAATTGCTATGAAGTCCATACATTTGTCCCTCTTTATGGCTGCGTAATATTCCATATGTATATGTACCACATATTTTTTTATCCAGTCCAGCTTCAATGGGTAGCATTGTTGGCTCCATGTTTTTGCTATTGTAAATAGAGCTACAACAAACATGGGTGTGCAGGTCTCTTTTTGGTAGAATGACTTTAGTTTCTTTGGGTATATTCCCAATAGGGGTACTGTTAGATTATATGGAAAGTCAATTACTAGTTCTTTCAGAAATTGCCACACTGTCTTCCAAAGAGGTTGTACTAGTTTGCATTTCCACCAGCAGTGTAGAAGCATTGCTTTTTCTCCACATCCTCGCCAGTCATGTTGTTGTTTGTTTTATTAATAATGGGCCCATTCTTACTGGGGTTAAGTGGTGTCTCAATGTGGTTTTGATTTGCATTTCTCTGATGATGAGTGAGGCTGAGCACTTTTTCATGTGTCTGTTGGCTGCCCGTATATCTTTGTTTGAGAAGTGTCTATTCATGTCTTTTGCCCACTTTTTAAAGGGGCTGTTTGTTTTTTTCCTTTCAGCTCATTGGAGGTCCTTGTAGATCCTAGATGTTAGGCCTTTGTCAGATATACAATTGGTGAATAATTTTTCTCATTCTGTTGGCTGTCTCCCTGCTATCTTGATGGTTTCTTTTGCTTTGCAGAAGCTTGTCAGTTTGATGTGGTCCCACTTGTCTATCTTATCTCTTATGGTATAGGCACTTGGGATTTTGATCAGGAATTGGTTGCCCATTCCAATTTCCATAAGAATGTCTCCTGCATTTTCTAAGATTCTAATAGTTTGAAGTTTCATGTTTAGGTCTTTGATCCATTTAGAGTTAATTTTTGTGTATGGTGATATGTAGGGGTCCTGTCTCAATCTTCTGCATGTGATCAGCCAGTTTTCCCAGTACCATTTAATGAATAGATTCTCCTCTCCCCAGTGGTTGTTGTTGGAGGCTTTGTCAAAGATGAGTTGCTTGAGAAATAGAGGGTTTGCTTCCAGAATCTCTATCCTGTTCCACTGGTCTGTATGCCTGTTCTTATACCAACATCGGCTTGTAGACTTATAGTAAAGTTTGAAGTCTGGAAGTGTGATTCCTTTATTTCTTTTGCTAAGGATTGTTTTGGCTATTCTTGGTCATTTATGTTTCCATATGAATTTCTGTATTGTTATTTCCAGGTCTGAGAAGAATGATGTTGGTAATTTAATGGGTATTGCACTGAATCTGTAGATTGCCTGTGGTAGGATGGACATCTTAACCATGTTGATTCATTCTACCCATGAGCATGGAATATTTTTCCAATTAAGCCATGTTTTTAAAGTAGACTTAAATTTAATGAATTTGTGAGTAGCTTCCTCTAATTCTATAAAAGTTGGCATCTTATTCACCTTGACAAAATGTCCTTGGTTTCTCAGCCATCTGAAAATGACACTCAAGGTGGCCAGTCCTCAAATATAAAAATGTCAGGTTTCACTTTATTTATTTAGTTATTTAGTTATTTATTGAGTCAGAGTCTCCCTCTGTCACCCAGGCTGGAATGCAGTGGCTTGCTGCTCATGACCAATGCAGCCTCGACCTGCTGGGTTCAGGCAATCCTTTCACATCAGCCTTCCAAGTAGTTGGGACTACAGGTGCACACTACTATGCCTGGCAAATTTTTTATTTATTGTAGAGATGAGATCTCGCCAAGTTGCCCAGGCTGGTCTCAAACTCCCGGGCTCAGGCAATCCTCTCACCTTGGCCTCCTTAAGTGCTGAGATTATAGGCATGAACCACCACACCCGGCCTTCACTTTACATTTTAATGGCATATGAGTGCAGAAGCTAGTTACGCTCATAAGATAGCCATGGCAGACAGCTGTGAACTTTCATTGAATACAAGACATTTATTTACATAGAGTTTCTAAGAGGCCTTGCCACAAATATCAGCTACTTCAACACCTCACTCTAAACATTCTAGCTGCATATACATTTAAACCCTTGGATAGAAATGAGAGTTATATCTTAAACTTTTTTTTTTTTTTTACATCTTCCTGTATACTTTTATTTCTAGATTACTTATTTTTTGAACTGAAGTCTCACTCAGGCTGGAGTGCATTGGCATGCTCACAGTCATTGCAGCCTCAACCTGCTGAGTTTAGGCAATCCTTCCACCTCAACCTTCCAAGTAGCTGGAACTATAGATGTACACCACCATGTCCAGCTAATTTTTTTGTGTGATTTATTATAGAGACAAGGTCTCACCAAGTTGCCCAGGCTGGTCTCGAACTCCAGAGCTCAGGCAATCCTCTCGCCTTGGCCTCCCAAAGTGCTGGGATTACAGTCTGAGCCACCACGTCTGGCCATTTTTTATCACATTTGAATTTATAGTGTTAGTTTCTCATATGGAACCCAGCAGAAAAATACTGTTAATTAAATTAATAACTATGGCATTTTTATTAAAAATGAATAAAGTTCTCCAAAGCCTCTCCTGTCAACCCCCACTGTACAATATTATATAAAATGAGTAATGTGATCAACTTTTTTCACTCTCTGTGGTTTTCAGTGACTCTTCCTATATGTTTTACATAAGGAAATAATCTTCTTAATTATATTGCTGTACATTAGCATAACTATTTCATGTTCTTACACTTATTATATTAGCTAAAGAGATAGCTGCTTGTGTAAGGATTGGAAGACCATCCTGTTGAGAATTAATAAATAATCAGCTACATATAACAAAGAGTTGCTGTGAGGCAACAAATTGATAATTGGCACATTCTACCCCTTTGACTATTCCTCTTCCATATGAGACCTCATACACAAATTGAAACCCCTGAATGTCTACAAAAACTATATTTCCACCAAACAAGAGACTGCTATCTGTCTTTAAATTATCACATTTTTCTCCCAAATGAAGCAACCAGAGTTCCAGTAGTCATAGTATCCCACCCATGGCTAAGTGATACAGAAGGTATATATTTGGTTTTATATAAGAAACTGCCAGTTTTTCCAAAGTGATCATTCAATTTTGCATTCCCTCCAACAATGTATGAAAGCTCCAGCTGTTCTATATCTTCACCAACATTTCATATTGTTCTCCAGTGTATTATAGCCAAAACACAAATATTTTAATACCTATGCTTAGCTTCAGAACAAGGACCAATTAAACAGAAATGAAATAGAATAGTGGGTTTTATTATAGGCTTCATGCACAGCCCAGTCCTCTTTAAATACCTTACTCTGTTGCCCCCATTTACCATATGGAGGAATGGAGGCCCAGATATATATGTGGAGTAGAAGTCTAGCCTTAGCTAGAAAGCCACAGTCTTGACAATCACACTCTACAGACTGATGGCTGGGATGTTAGATAACTTACTATTATATATAAAATCCCTTTGTAATAAAATAATAGTGTACAATATTAATTTTTCTATATTTTTGTCTTCTATCAGGTCCTGACAGCTTTTAAGGATATACAAAAGGAGGTAAGATTAAATTTTGATTCTCTGAATTCCTTGCTTCCATTTTATTCCTTACCCTACCGAGATGTTGACTGTGACCAAAGTTTTAACTTCATTTATTTATTTAGTGGTTTCTCTCTTTAAAGAGTAACACTGATTTGTCAGCCCAGGTAGGTAAGGTAAGAAGATGCCTAACAATTCCATTGAGGAAATGTGATAAAATAGAGACAAAATTGTATCTGCCAGAACTGCTCTCAGCAAGAATACCCTGTGTGGTTATATGAAATGCTGATGAGTGATTGAGTTATTCATGATTGGGTTATTAGGTGAGTATGTCTATTAACTGCAGGGAAGAGCAAGAGACCCGGGCTAAACTTTTTGGTAAATAAAAATAAACCGTCTTCCCCATGCAGATTTTAGTTTCTTTTCAAAGCATTGATCAAATATTTAAACAATATGGTCAAGCATGCACATACTATTGGCCTGCCCCTGATAATGAGTTATATAGTAGCTTGCTTAAGGTGCTGATGTGTCTTTGTCCTGTCAAGTCCACTGTGATATCTTCTTTTCTTTGTATTTAATTTTTGTTAGAGTAGAGAGCAATAGACACTATCTACATAATTACTTATTAACAGACTATAGACTATAAACTAGAGTGACTGTAAACATAGAAAAATACATAACCTAGGACAAATGCAAATATCATAAAACCAGAACAAATGGGAAACTTCTGTACAGATTTCTTAACTTTTGTTCCTCTGGATAAAGATATAATTTCATTAAAATTAGAGGCACAAAGTAGTGGCTCAAGCCTGTAATCCCAGCACTTTGAGAGGCCAAGGCTAGAGGATTGCCTAAGCTGAGGGTTTCAAGACCAGCCGGGGAACTTGGCGAGACCTCATCTGCACAGTAAAGCAAAAAGTAGCCAGGCATGGTGACACATGCCTGTAGTTCCAGCTACTTGGAAAACTGAAGCAGAAGGATCACCTGAACCCATCAGGTCGAGGCTGCGGTACCCGTGAGCATGCCACTGCACTCCAGCCTGGGCAACAGAGTGAAACTCCAACTCAAAAAAAAATAAAATGTGGCTTTATTTTCCTGATTTGGCAATCATAAGCCCCAGCATTAAAGCATTCTAATATAGAAAAACCATTAAGTTGGCTCATGTAAGCTCAGAGGACCCAAAGGGTGTCATCAGCAGCTATTACTCCAGGGTAAGTACAAATTTTTTAAAAGATTCTTTACCATTTCTTAAAGATCACTACAGATAACCACTGGAGACAATTAGGAGGATGAAAGTTCCCAGGAAAGGCATAACAGAAAGTCCAGAAAGAATAAAAGAGATGAGGCCATGGTATGAGTAGTTATAACTGTAAATAACGAATTGTGTGTCTCCCACCTCTAAAGAGGCCATAGTTTGCTGTTATTTATGTTTTCATTCATTATTCAAAAAACATTTATTGAGCATATGTTGTACAGAGGGCATTACCTAAAGTGGTTTGATGTGAGAGTTACAAAGACAATATAAATTTTCTTCCAGGAAACTTGGAATTTAGTTCCAAGTAGCCCATATTTTCCAAACAGACAGCAACCCTACATTACACCAAGCTATAGATGATACACTGAAGGTTCAGAGAAGACCAGCCACCTCAGACTCTAACCTTCTCAATTCTCATTATTTTTCAGCTGCAAAAAGATGCTCGGGTTCGAGGTAAAAGAGAAGTCTATCAAGGTTTGGATTAAAAAAATAAGGGAGGGGATTGGGGAGGGAATAAGGAGGGGTTCATCCCAAAGTTTCATCTTAGGATCTTCTGTTTGGCTTAGAGCTGCAGATCAGATCCTTTCTTCCTTTCCCCCTTTAACCAAACTGGGAGTTTGATTTCCTTAAAGCATCCATGAGCACTGTTAGTCTCTCCTCTGTACAACATAGTTACCTCATGTCTTAATAAACTCAGGCTGCTGTAACAGCATACCAAAGATTCGGTGACTTATAAACAACAGAAATGTATTTCTTGCAGTTCTGGAGACTGGGCTGTCCAAGATCAAGGTGACAGTAGATTCGGTGTCTGGTGAGGAGCTGCTTTCTAGTTCATAAACAGCCATCTTTTTCACTATGTTCTCACATAGAGGAAGAAGCAAGGGAGTTATCTGGGTTCTCTTTAATAGGGCATTAATTTCATTCATGAGAGCAGAGCCTAATTCATGAGGTGACCCAATCACCTCCCAAAGGCTCCACACATTAATATCATTGCATTGGGGATTTGGTTTTAATATGTGAATTTGGAGGGGACACAAGTATTCAGTCTATAGCACATAGACAGGGATGGAATAGTCTCCTTCTCCCTTGGAATGGCTGTTGAGGGACTGAGGACAATCGTAGCTTGTCAGTCGAGGAGAAACAGCAAGCACAGAGGGGAGCCCCTTCCCAGGGCTGGCATAAAGATGAAATAGCAGGGAAGTCAGAGTGGAATGATTATTCAGGGTGATCAAGGTATAGTTCTCAAATGCCCAGATGCAAATTCTAGCATTTCAGGAAAATACTCAAAATACCCAGGAGCCTAGAGTTATAGCATAAAAGCTGTATCTGGAGCACGTTCCTCCACTCATTCAAGAAAGAGCTTATAAATCAGGGCTCTTTGAGCTTTTGCATATATATAGATCACCTGAGTCCCTTGATAGAAAATAGATTCTTATGCAGTAGATCTAGGATGGGCTTGGGATTCTGGGATTCTCTATGTCTAACAGGCTTTGCTTGTCAAGGATATGTATGACTGAGCCCAAAGAGAGAGCCTCTAATGTCAGAATGAAATAAGGTTTAATTCAGGGTCGCCTGTGCCCCATGGAAGGGTTGAAGAGACTTCAGCTGTGAGCACAAGTGGCAGAGAGAAGATGTTCTAAAGGAGATTCTGACTACTCTTGGGATTGCTCTGACACTGGAACCCCTCTCTGCCTTCGTAGGCCCTCCAAAAAACAGAGTTCATAAAACTACAATTATAGGGATCTTTAAGTACAGACAGTCCAGAGAAGAACAGTTCTGATAGTTCCCCAACCTGGCCAATCACCTCCACTACTGAATAAGGAACCATAGAAGGGGGACACAAAAAACCCCAGAATGTATTTATTTAAATTGTGTATTTTGTCTTACATGTTTAAACTTCAGTCACCTTCAAAGTACTCTCCGTTTGATGCAATGCAGCTATCAAGACACTTTTTCAACTGCCCAAAACAGTTTTTGGGCTTGTCAGTTCTGATATATTTTAGTGTTTCTGTCATTTTTGTTTCACCTCTCCCACACTGGCAAAATATTTCCCTTTGAGGACTTTTTTCATTCGGAGAAACAAAACCAAAAAAAGTTCTCAGGGCAAGGTCGGTGAATAGAGAGGGTGGGTCATGGAAGTCATGCCATGTTTGGTCAAAAATTGCTGAACACTCAACGCGGTGTGGGCAGGTGTGCTCGTAAATCACCCATCATGAAATGAGCAAACACGTTGAAAGAATCTCCAAAAAGAATGTCAGTGAAGCCAGGCGTGGTAGCTCACACCTGTAATCCCAGCACTTTGGGAGGTGGAAGCAAGGGGGTCGCCTGAGCCCAGGGGTTCGAGACCAGCCTGGGCAACTTGGCAACACTTCATCTCTACAATAAACCAAAAACAATTATCTGGGTATGGTGGTGCGTGCCTATAGTTTAAGCCACTTAGAAGGCTGAGGTGGAAGAATCACAGGAGCCCAGCAGGTCGAGGCTTCAGTGGCTGCAAGTTTATCACTACAACAGAGACTCCGACTCAAAAAAAGAAAAAATGCAGCCTCTCACAACAACGCTAGCTGGTACACTGATGCTGATGGGTTCCTAGAACACTTACCTAGCAGGAGAAGCCTGTGTTACAAGAAGCCTGCCTTCCAAAAAATGATTCCAAGTTTTTTTGGGGTCCCCTCATATATGGCCTGTGGGATCCAGAGGATCATGAGATACTTTTCTTGAATGTTGATCCTTAAAGGTCAAAAGATTTAAAAGGGTCAAGTTTACCTCTGCTTGGAGGGGGCTCTTCTTTATCTAAGGAAGCCTGATTCCCAAAGAGGTCACTCAGGGCCCTGGAAACACTCACCAAACTACCTAGGCTGTAAAAACAGATTTTTGCTGATGTTGCTTTTCTGCCTCCTGAGATAAGGGAAGGGAGGGTGAAATACAGGGAGAGATGAAAAAATTCATGTCTCAGCGTACCCATTTTTCATACCAAAAAATGGAGATGAGAAGTGAGAAACAGGGACTTGTTCCAGTGGGGTGCCCTGGGACTGAAGCACTTGCTAACTCTTCAGTTCCCAGCCCTGACTTAGCAGAGCTCCAATGAGCATGATTCTCCATGCTTCACAAGTGGCCAGACTCCTGGTGCCACATTCTGTAACTGCCTCTCTGACAAGGTCCTCAGTGTCCCCACAAGTCTGGCTCCTCCCACTTTGGCCATACTCCAAACTAGGGATGTGAGCTAAGCAATTCGGGAGACATGTCCAGACCCCTATAACAGAATGATTCCTTTCTGTGTCCACCTCAGGGATGAGCAACTGCTCCGTGACTCCCATGTCATCTGCACGCAGAACTAGGTAAGTGACCGTATTCTTGAAGTCCCCAAGAGAGATGACATCCACCTGAATATGAGTGTGACAGCCAGAATTATAGCTAGTTCTGAGCCTTGAGCCTTCAGAAGTGTGTACTTCCAACACACATCTCTTCTAAAGGGGAAAAAGTGTACATCTCTACAGAGCCATGGCTTTCTCCTCCATTCTCAGCCCCATCTTAGAAGTCCCTGGAATCTCAGGGTTGGTCCTGAACCTCATCATAACAGATTTTGGGAAATTCTCTTAATTCAGTTAAGAGTATAAGAGAACATAGAAAGGATGACAAGGGAAAGAAAGTCACAAAGAAGGAGTGAAGAATCAGTACAGATTTAGAAGAAAAAAAATGAACAAAAGTGTGAGAGTCCAATGCCCTAACATTGAGAGATATCCATTTCTATTCCATAAGAACAAAATGAGGAGTAAAAAGATCAGGCTATCATACCACAGATTTAATTTAGACACAAGGAAAGACTTTCCAATAAAGCAACTGAGAAACAGGGGACTAGGCAATCAAAAATGGCAGCACCGTATTCTTCAGAGGATTTTTGAAAATCTGATTTTTTTTAAAAAATCAGTTTGACATGCTCCAGGTATGGTCCTGCCTAAGCCAGGAAATGGAAGAGGTTTACTCCCTAGATCCCTGTTTGAACAGAATTTGTCCCTATCTCAGAAAATTGGTTCTTATAAAATAAAGCTATTCCTTTAAAATTTGGTTCTTATAAAATAAAGCCATTCCTTTAAAGAGACAGATCATTATAGTCTAATTTACTCAGTGCTGAAAAACCATGGATGGAATAACTGAAAGGGGAGCTCATATTTACGTAAATTCTAAAGGTAGTTATTGTAAACCCTTTTCATATAAGGAGCACTTTTAATTATTCAAAACGCTTTCAGACATATGACCTTACTTAATGTTAACTTTACTATTCCTCTGAGGCAAGCAGGAGGAATTTTCCTAATTAGGAAAAAATAGTTTATGGCACTTCATCTCCTAAAACCCAACAAGGGCTTTTTCCAGTGGACCACATGTTCATCAGGCAATTGCATCTCCAATAGCCAACGATGTCCATTCCTTATGGAGTGTGAAAACAAAATTCCTAAGGACAGTGGAGGCCAGGGAGAAAGCCCAAAGAGTGGAATCTCTTTTATGCATATATCTACAACCTCCTCTTACTTGGTACAGAAACATCAGCTCTCCAGATTTCTGGATGACTCCAAAGTTAAGAAGATCACAGTTCAGCACTGGAGAGCAGCCATCAGCAGCCAGTGCCCACAACCTGAAGACACAGCTCCCTGACCAATCAGCTTACTACCCTAGACCCTAATTCTATAATCAAGGAAGAAGGACTTCTCTGCTTCTGCCAGGTGTTTTACCTAGGCGGCCTTTCCCCCAGGCTCCACCCTACCCATCCTGTTGTAGTCAGGAATTCAGATCTTATAGGTCATCATCCCAACATGGCAGAGTAGCCCCCTCCACCACCAAGCAGGTGCAATCGATACAAGAGACAATGGGATGAGAGGGTGGACGGGTGAAGGCAGAGCTAGACCAGGTTCTTTTGGTCTCTGGTGATCAAGACAAAGAGCCAAACAGAGTGCATCAAGTGTGAATGGTTCTGTACAAGAAGTTTTCAGGAATCAGAGAGGGACAAGTGTGCAAGAGAGAGATGGAAAGGTGGAAAGTTTAAAAACATACTAATAAACATAAGGCCCATGATTCCCTTCTGGAAAGTGCTCTGGAAACTTACACTATTTGGAAGGTTTAATTCAGTATCAAGAGTCAAACACAATACATCCAAGTCACTGCTTAAGTGACAGGCTAGTTCCTCAATCCTTTTCACACTCCTGTTTCTCAGCACATCTGACACCTAACCCCACATGGAGTAGAAAACTATCTCAGATGCTCACCCTGTGGCATGGACTATACTAGCCACACCCTCTATCTGGCCTTTTCTAGGGCTCATTGGAAATTCCTTTTTAAGACAGGGTCTGAGTTATAGGTGATGGAGAAAATTGGTCTCATCTGCTTGTGTCTAAGTATAATGACTCTATGTATTTTCTTGAATCATCCCCTTTCAAATATTTTATCCTGCTTCATAAATCATCAAAATTCACAAAATATTCCAATATCTTATCATTACAATGACATCTTTCTGAAAGAACACATACACTCACAAAACCTCTGCCATCACCTTAACACCCAGTTTGGGTTCAAGCATTAAGGCTGGAAGTTTCCTTCCTCTTGTGTAACATGGACTGCAAGTGTAAGATAGCAAAGATTCTGAAGTGGAAAATAAATAGAGTAGTATGGTCTACAACCAATGCATCTCATCCCTCTGTTCCTGTTAAATGTCTTGGGATGGGGTGTGAGGGTAGGAGCATAACCACGAGGATTGCTTTTACTTTCAGGGTCACCTGCCTAGAAAACTAGCAGGGAGGAGAATAAATTTCTTTTATTCCCATCCATGTGATTGTGAAATCCAGAGCACAGCTCCAGTTGCCTGAAAGAGAGAAAATATTAGGCAGACATCATCAATGAACCAGGAAAAGAGAGTGATGCCCATGGGTGGAGATGCCAGGGTCCATGGCTGCAGCTGGGAACTTGGAAATCAAGTGAGACCCAAACACATTCCAACTGCCAAGAAAAGAAACCAGCAAACAAACAACTGATGAAATAAATGTGATATAAAAGACATTGTCCTCTTGGTTTTTTCTGGATTGTGGTATGAAGTGAGCAAATTTCCAAGTAGAATGTTGTATTTGGTTCAGAGAACAGCACTGTAGACTGAAAGAAGACTTTCATTATAAATTATAAACTCATTCTGACTTTGTGTTGGGAGCCGGCCACAGAGGCCCACTGAGCATTAGGGATCAGGGAGGGCCGTGGACCCCGAGACCACTAGGATGTGTTCGGGAGCCGTTGACCCCATTTTCCTCCTTCTTTTACCATGTAGCACAAGTAACCTAAAGGAACTCTGCTGATCTAAGCTGAAGGCTCTGTGACTGTGGCAGGCATGGCTCACTCTAGACACCCATTGTTCCTGTTTCCCATAAACTGTGGTTTCGGCTTAGGTATTAGATATAATTCAAACTCAGGTCACATTTGGAAGCCTTTTACATGGTACAAGTCTCTTTATAAGATTTTAAAGTATATTTGTAGAATTAGTATATACTTATGGAGAGCTGTTTTCGGCTTTTCAATGGTATAGATGATTATCAAGAGTTATCAGAAATGGCCCAACACAAACTTTGGGCCGGGCCACATTCCTGAGGGCCCAGCGCATACTTTGGACTGGGCTGCATTCTTTTAGGCCAGATTTAGCTACAGTTAGTGTAGGGTTTTTCTACCTGTTATAGAAATTGAATTTATTTTATTCATAGAAAGTATTGTAGAATAGGTCATGCTAATGTCAGGGAATCATGTTAGTTCAAGCATGACCAATCATGATATTTTGAGGTTTAATAAGAATACAGTTATCTTTAGAAATTTCATTGTCTCCATTTTCTACTACTGTGGTTTTGGCCTTAGTACATTTACAGTTTATATTTGGGTTTTATTTTTAGAAGCTTTGCTGCTGATGATCAGCCTTATATATTAGGATTAGGAATTAGAAACTTTCATAGAAATTAGGATAGATATATAGGACTTTAGTCATTTTGTTAAGAGATTGTAGTCTATTGTCCCAAAAAGTGACCCACCATGAACCTTGGACTGGGCCACATCCTATAGAGCCCAGCGTGATCTTTGGACTGGGCCACATTCTTTAGGAATTGGCTTAAGCTATCATTAAGAGCTTCCGTAGCATTGTGTAAGCAGTATTAGCATAGAATAGAAAGGTAATAAAGTTTAAGTTAGTCATCATGGGTATTGTGTGAGCTTTAGAAGTTATTGATTATCAAAACAGCATTAGGCTAGTAGGGATTATTGCACTGCTTTTGAAGAGCATTAACTAGCAAAGGGAACAATAAGACAATCTTGGAGTTTGTCCCTCCTCATAACTAAGAAAACATCTGGTGGGTGGGGGATGCCCCTCCTGCACCTGGCTTTGTGTTCACGTGAAAGACTTGTGAGACTGTCTGTCTAAAATTTGGAGATAAATACCTGCTGTAACTTTCAATAAATGGTTTCTGCTCATTTCACTGAACAGTTGTCCACTTTCTTTCTTTCTCTTTCTTCCTCTTTACATCTATCCTTACATCTTTCTTTCTTTTAATATCTGTCCCTACAGATTCACCGACGCCACCACATCTTCCGAGAGACTCCCCAAAACTTGCAGGGGCTGGCCCCCTGCAACTTCATCTAACTCATTCTTTTTTGTAAGCCTCAGTATCTTCTGCCATAAAAGAAGTGTTACTAGAAAATAATGGGGGGAAAAGAAAAGAATGAAGGCAACTTTCATTTCTAATATCCTATCATCTAGATGATCTCACAATATGCCATACCAATATAGTTAGCCACCAGCCTGTGAAAAGGTCACCTAGTCAAAAGGTATTTCCTACAAGAAAGGACAATTTAGGATATTTGTCAAAGATGGTAACCTTTACACATGTAAATGCATGTATTACATGGCAGGTAGAGTTTTTATTTTTTTCCTTTCTAAACAAAATCTGAACAAGTGAACATAGCATATTAAATAACTATACAACATAGGATTTAACCTCATGAGTGAAAATTTGTCACAACACCAATAAAATAATAATCAGAATACATTATAGTAATAAGGTAAACTCTTAAAAGTCTTCACCTCAGCCAGGCTCGGTGGCTCAGCCTGTAATCCCACACCTTTGGGAGGCTGAGGTAAGTGGATTGCATGAGCCCACGGGTTCGAGACCCGCCTGGGCGGCGAGACCTCATCTCTACAATAAATCAAAAAATCAGCCGGGCATGGTAGTGCATGCCTGTAATTCCGGCTACTCAGAAGGCTGAGGCGGAAGGATCGCTGGAGCAGGTCGAGGCTGCGGTGGCCAGGAGCGGCACTGCACTCCAGTCTGGGCGACAGAGTGAGACTCCAACTCAAAAAAAAAAAATCTTCACCTCAATTAGATGTTGACTTGGTATTTGTTAAAACATAATTTTTAATTAAGACTTTAAAAAACTAGTGGAGAATATTTTACATGATAAAAACAATTCATAATTATTGGGGTGTATTGAAAACAAAAATTAGACAAGGATGTCCTTTATCTTCATGCAATTTCAACAGTATTAATAATGTTGTCAGTGTTTTTCATTTCTAAAAACAATTAAAGATAATAAACAATATGAGCAAAACATTATTTACAAATTGGGTAGCAAAATTTATCCAGAAGCATAAAGCAAAACTTCCAAAAACAAGTCTAAGAATGAATAGAGTTGCCTTCAGAATTTTGCTTCTCAAATTTGCAGCCACTGAAATCATATCATATTAAAAGCAAGAATAAGTAAACCAGAATTTCATTAGTGATCTAAGAAAAGTTTCAACATGTGTTAAACTAAAAATGTATAATCAAGAATGATAAAGAAAGCATTACATTACAATTACAAATCAGGCCCAGCTGATTTTTTATTGTTACTTTGTAGAGACGAGGTAGAGAACACTATGCTGCCCAGGGTGGTCTCAAATTCCTGGTCTCAAGTAATTACAATTATTATTTCTCACTAGTAATATTGAGAAAAAATTTCACTTGTTTACATAGAAAAATGATATCTACTATGAGTAAGGTATTGAACCTAAGGAATGGAGGTAAAACATAACTGGTAAAATATCTCCTGTATGAATGACAGTGAGTGATGGAACACTAATGTCACCAAAAGTCACCAAGGATGACGCAGGATTCCAGCTGGAGCAACTGGGTGGACGAAGGTAACACATTACTAGAAATTGAGAAGACTTGGAGACCAAGAGATTTTGGAGTAGAATACAAATATTTACTTTTGGAAATGCTACGTTTGAGAGTCCATGAGACATCAAAGCAGAGACTTCAAATGTGTTGTTAGATATATGAGTCTGGACTGCAAAGGAGAGATTTGGTATCTTTTCCAACCAACTGGCCCATTATACTTATTTTTACCTATTTCCTTTTGTTATCATGCGTTCATCTCTGGGCAAAAGATTGGGGAGTGTCTTGACAACTTTTACTTCCTAAATTTTAATGGAAAAGAATATGGCCCTCGAGAGTAGTAGGAAGTTTTGAGGGAGTCTTGAGGAAAATAAGACTTTCAAGGTGGTAGGATAATGAGGAAGGGCAATTTTTACAAATCAATGCTAGAGATAAGACCCAATAGGCATAGGAGATCTCCTGCATTACTGTGGGGAGAGGGGTGTGGGTGTGGGTAAGCGGTTGTATGGGTGTGGGTGTATGGATGTGTGTGCATGCTCACATGCCCTTGGCACATAGCCTCATTGCCTAGCTTACTTGTCTCCAATCCCAAACTGATTCGCCTAGAAAAAGTCTAACAAAAGTAGCTTTTTACCTGTTTTCCTAAGTATCAATGACATGGGGACAAGAGAATAGGTATAGGAGAAGGAACATATTTAAATGTCATTAAGTTAAGAGAAAATACTGTTTTCTAATAGCATTATGATATTTCAACATAGTTCTCAATGTTCTAAACAGCACAGTAGGGATAAAAGAAAAGGTAGCCAGGTGGTGGTGGCTCACGTCTATAATCCCAGCACCTTGGGAGGCTGAGGTGAGAGGATTGCCTGAGCCCACGGGTTCAAGACCAGCCTGGGCAACTTGGCGAGACCTCATCTCTACAATAAATCAAAAAATTAGCCAGGCTTGGTGGTGCACACCTGTAGCCCCAGCTACTTAGAAGGTTGAGGTGGAAGGATTGCCTAAGCCCAGCAGGTTGAGGCTGCGGTGGCCATGAGCATGCCACTGGGCACTGCAGCCTGGGCGATCGAGTGAGACTCCAACTTAAGAAAAAAAAAAAGAAACTATAAAGAAATGGGAGTTAGAAACACTGGACAGAGCAAAATGATATGTAGGAAGAACATGAAGGTGGCCTATTTGTCTTCTTGGATTGAGTCTCCACGGACATCTATGGAGATGTCCTCTACTTTTGCACTAAATCCATGATGGATCAAACCTACCAGAGACATCGCCCGAGCAATTCTCTTTTTTCCTGAATAATTTTTTTCTTTGTTGTTGCTGCAATTGTGTTCGATATCATCTATACATGCTGCAATTTCTCCCATTTCTCATCACTTCCACTCTTTTATATTAACAGAACTCCTCCAGCTTTATGATGATTAGCATTTGTGTGAGATATCTTTTTCCCCTTTCACTTTTAACCTATGTATGTTGTATATTTATATTTAAATGACATTTATATTTAAATTTTAGTTTGAATCTTGATTTTTTATTCATTTTACAACTTCTGCCTTTTGCAGCCTAGAACTCCTGGGCTCAAGCCTCCTATCTTAGCTTCTCACAGTTGGAACTGGAAGCCTGTGCCACCAAGCACAGTTGATTTTTTATTGTTATTTTTGCAGAGACGAGATCTCACTATGCTGTCCAGGGTCTCAAGCAATTCTCCTGTCTCAGCCTCCCAAAGTTCTGGGACTATAGGCATGAGCCCCCATGCCTGACCCAATTTCTACCTTTTGATTGGATTTTTAGACCACTTACATATGTAAATGTAAGTTGCTGGATATAAAGTGAACATCTATTTTCTGTTTTCTCATTCTGTAATTTTTCT